TTATAGAGGTAATGATTATGCATTCATGGCAAGTGAAGATACTTCAATGGATGCTATGTCTAAGTGGATTTTTGATTCGGATGCCACTAAGCACATGACTCCATATAAGTGTTCATTTGACACTAAAAAAGAAATTTCAGCAATAAATATACTCATGGGAGACAATGGCTTAGTACAAGCTATTGAAATGGGCTCTATTATGCTAGAGATTTTTGTAAAAGGCCAAACTAAGATGATCAAATTGAAAAACGTCTTACATGTGCCAAAGATGAAGAATAACCTCCTCTCAATGAGTAAATTTGTTTTACATGGTTGTAAAGTACAATTTGATAAGAATGGATGTTTTGTGAAGACATTGAAAGGAGATGATGTTGCAAAGGGCTTTAGAGATGGCAACTTCTACTTCATCAAGTGTAAGAAGGTGAATGGAGTTGAAGTGGTGATATTTGCTGAATTTCTTCAAGATCAAGATAAGTTTGGCATTTGGCATCAACGCCTTCGTCATTTGAATGCCAAGAGCATGAAGGAGCTCCAATCCATAGTAAGTGGCTTAGATCTTGGTCATATAAGCCACAATATTATGACACTTGCTTGTGAAGGTTGTATTCAAGGCAAATAACAAAAGGCTAAATTTTCAAGTAGAGTGGCAATACGTGCAACCAAGTTGTTGGAGATAGTCCATTCTAATGTTTGTAGACCTATGAAGATGCCATCAATAGGAGGTACAAGGTACTTTGTCACATTTATTGATGATTTTTTAAGGAAGGTGTGGATTTTCATCTTCAAAGCAAAGAGTGAGTGTTTTACAAGATTTAAAGAGTTTAAGGTACTTGTAAAGGAGCAATGTGAGTGCAAAATCAAGATATTACGTATGGACAATAGAGGTGGTTATATGTCAAAGTAATTCAATAATTTCTTAAAGATATATAGTATTGCAAAACAAACCTCCACTCCTTACACTCCACAACAAAATGGAGTTGCTGAAAGAGCAAATTGAACTATTATAGAGATGGTAAGGAGTATGCTTCATGCCTAATACTTTAGACATGAGTTTTGGACAAAAATAGTAGTGAATACAGTATACAAAAGAAATATATGTTCTACAAGTGCACTTATATTAAGGACTCCAGAAGAAGCTTGGAGTGGGAGAAAACCTTCTACTCTCACATGAAGACCTTTGAATGTATAAAATATGCAAAGACACTAGATTATATGAGATCAAAATTTGATGCAAAAGATACAAAATGTGTATTTATTGGATATTATGAAGATACAAAGGCTTATAGGCTCATATATTTGGAGACCAAAAATATCATCAAAAGCCATGATGTTGATTTTTTGGAACACAAGAATATTTGTGAGTACTTAGAGATGTATCCAAGTAGGAATAATAGTATGTTTATCAATACATCTTCAAATTCAGCAAAGAAAGAAGAAGTCGAAGATAATGATGGTTGTAAAGATAGAAATGAAGATGAAGAGGCAAAAAAAGTGGAAAAAAAGGCCTTTAAAAATGCTAAGACTAGAAATGAAGAGCATGAAGATGTTGATGATGACAGTGATGAGGATTATCAACCTTTGAATGAGAAAAGATTATCTACAAAAAAAATAAAATAAAATAAAATAAAATAAAATAGAGGAGACCACACAATACAATAAGTTGAGTCTTCTTCAAATGAAAAGAAATATCATATGAGAGATAGAAAACAATGTGACGAATGATAGAAGAATTACATCTTTCCTCAAGTAAGTGAAGAATATGCCAATGTTGCACTTCTTCATGATCCATTGAATTCGTATGATTCAATGAAGTCCATAGATGCTTTGAAGTGGTAGAAAGCCATGGAAGAAGAATATCAATCATTCATAAACAATGGAACATGGAAATTGACTCAATTTCTATCAAATCAAGCTTTAATTGATTGTAAATGGGTGTTTAGAATAAAGAGGGATGCAATGGATAATGTTGTCAGGTATAAAGTAAGATTGATTGCCAAAGGCTATTCACAAGTTGTTAGTATTGATTTCAATGAGACATTTGCTCCCATAGCCAAATTCACCACCATTAGAACCATTGTGGCAATTGGAGCAGCAATGGACTTGGAGATACATCAAATGAATGTGAAGATGGCTTTCTTGAATGGAGAGTTGGAAGAAGATATCTACATGGATCAACCTCAAGGATTTATTAAAGAATGTAAGCAACACCTTGTTTGTAAGTTGAAGAAATCCTTGCATAGGCTCAAGCAATCACCAAAGATATGGTACCAATGCATCGACATATTCTTTGTGAATGAGGGATTTGTAAGAAGCAAAGCTAATTATTCCATGTATGTGATGAAATCAAAAGTCTTCTTGCTAATTGTTATTCTTTATTTTGATGATATAATTATCTTAACCAACATCTTGAATAAGATGGATTGGTTGAAGAAAAAACTAGCAAAAGAATTTGAGATGAGTGATTTGAAAGAGCTCCACTATTGCTTAGGAGTGGAGTTTATGAGAGATCAAGCTAAAAAGATCATTACATTGAGCCAAAAGAAGTATATTGAAGAAATATTGAAATGATTAAACATAGAGGAGTGTAAGCCTATTGGAACACCATTGGAGGCCAATATGAAATTAATGAAGCTCACAAATGAGGAGTTTGCTCAAGTTGAAGATGAAATGAAAGATGTTCCATACAAGGTAGCAGTAGGCTCACTTATGTATGCAATGGTTGGCACAAGGATGGATCTTGCATATGCGATGAGTGTTGTGAATCAATACATGTCAAAGGCTGGACCAATCCATTGGACAACCATTAAGAGGATCTTGAGGTACTTAAAAAGTACTTTGAACTTCAAATTGTGCCTTGGAGGTAATAAAATTGTATTGCATGGTTATTGTAATGTGGATTGGGCTAGAGATGCAAATGATAGAAGGTCAACAATGGGATATGTATTCTTTATTGGAATGGGAGCAATTTCATGGAATTGCAAGAAATAACCAACAATTGCAAGGTCTACAATGGAGGCGGAGTATATGGCAATAAGTCATGGTGCAATGGAAGAAATATAGCTAAGACAAGTTTTAGAAGACATTGAACTTGTGCAATTAGAAGCAACTCCAATAAAGTGTGACAATCAAGGATGCCTTGCCTTTGCAAAGAATCCAAAGTATCATTCAAGAACAAAGCACATTGACATTCAACATCACTTCATATGGAAAAAGATTGAAACAGGAGTAATTGACATAAAGTATTATGCAACAGAAGACATGCTTGTTGATTTGGTTATAAAAGCATTAGTGAAGGATAGACATTACAAATTGATAAAGGCATTAGATTTAGAAGCCTTTAATCAATAGCAAAGTGGGAGTGATAAAGTAAATGTTGGACAAATAATAAATATTACCTAACGTAAGTTACTAATGATTAAAGGATAGCAAAAGATAATAGAAAAGTTACCAAGGTAGTGGCTAGGGTTTATAGTAGTGGCTAGATTAAGTAGTAGCTAGGGCTTGGAGTGGCGGCTAGATTAAGTAGAATCTAGGGTTCAATTGGATGAAATAAGGATGAATGAGAATGAAGTTGAATCACAATGGATGTAAACTCTACCTATAAGTAAAGAATATTGGAAGAAAGAAGTATCTCATTCCACACTTCTCTTGTGTCTAACCTTGCTGATTTCTACTTACTTATGTCTTATTTATTGTGTTTCTTCAATAAAATTATTTATAGGCATATTTTTCTAGAAATTTGTTGAAAAAAACTAAAAAACATCCACAATAAAAATCTTTTCTTCTCCAAAGATAGCATAGTTCTTGGATAGCTAGTTACATTTTTAGTTCTTAAAGTAACAAAGTAATTAAATAGAACTTTAAAATTCCTTGATGTAGAGTGATTATACACAATAATTTACATGAAATTTCAATATTAATTATTTTATACTCTTAATATTCTTAACTCTGCATTCAAGAATAATGAGTTAAGTAGTTTGGTGTAATTTTTCTCTACTCCATTAATGCAATGGATATATCACATTTATGTATCAATATATATATATATATATATATATATATATATATATATTGCAACATAAGACATCAATTTTTTTAATTGTATTTATATCTATTAATTATAAGTTCATAAAAAAATAAATATATTAATCATATATTTAAGTTTTTTTTATATGTTTTATTCTTCAACCACTTTTTTACTTAATAATGGTATTATAACATGATATTGTATAAACTTCAAGTGGCACTTAACATTGTTGAATTTGTCCATCCCTATTCTTATAACAATATCAACTTAACATGATAAAGGCTTTTAATTAGTAAGTAGATTGAGAATTATTATTTAAAGATATTTATTATTGTAATAATTTAGTCAATGAAATAATAAATCTAAAGCTAAATCAAAAGACATGTTAATTTATTCTAATTACTTAAAATTATGGTAGGATTAAATATACATTTTTATAGTATTTCATAAGAATTTATTATTTGTTATTTATAATTTAATTGATCTAATATTTTTAACAAAGTAAAGATTAGATGATTAGAATGGGCACTGAAGTTGTTATAAAATATGGATATTTCATGTAGCAAGTTGATCAATCTTTTTTTAAACTTCAATATTGTAACATTTAACATATTAAGTACAATAAATTCTATAATTTCTCTTGGTATGATACAAACCAAAATTATTTCTTTAGATGTTTCATATGAATAACATCAAATCCAAATTTTAAAACATAGAAATAGGTTACCAGAACTATCCAAACAATTCATGCTGTGCAAAGAATTTTGCATTATTCAGCAAACGATGTTAGCTGATGCTAAGTCATGGCGTTCGGAGGATACAGATACTTCCATTCTATAAGTCTTCAATACACTGATATTTTTAGGAATTTCCATACCCATATTCTCGGCTGTGTCGCTGCTCCGGTCGTTGCACTGGGCGATAATGGACAAACACGGCGTCATATCTCAATAAACAATTAGATTCGAAGCAGTTTGATGCGAATATTTAGAAGAATACAAATAATCATATGCGATGTGACAGGGCAACACGGGCATCAACCCAGATACAAACTTTGCAAATCGGTGTATCAGCAGTAAAAGACTCCAGGACGGGCTAATTCCCCAGAAGCTTTTTTAATGCATCACTATTTATAATCCTTCTTAGACACCCTTGTGAGCATCCGTAGACTACACACATGCGAAAAAAATAATCGAGATGCCTAGAAAAATTGAAGACGAGAAGATACATTTGATCATCACTCCAGATCGAACTGGTCTAGTACACCAGGGTTCGAGTGTGAAACCCAAAAAATATCCAGACTTCGGCCAATGTGAATTATTTCAGTCTGCATGCAAGTGGTGGCCTTCTTTGTGTTTACATCGTTTCAGATACCACGCAGCATGCATCTGCAACCCCAAACCAACAAGTATCTTCAAGGCCAGAAGGATGATGTAAGTGCCTCCACCAAGAATAATAATGCCCACCACTCTATGCAGAAGTGGCCCTTGTGGAAGAAATGTAGCATACAATGGAATCAAGACCCTCAGAACCTGCACAAGAGCTGCGATATATCAACTAGTTGCCTAGAATGAAACACGAGGATAAATAAGCTAGTTGAGTACTAGTGAGTAAAATCGCCCCTCAAACAATTCCTGAAAATTATGTAAGATAATTGAATAATCAAGTGAAGCAGATGCAAAGGACATCAGGCAGTTCCAGCACTCAGCAGGTAGCAGTTAAACCCACGCAGGAGCATTTGAAAGGATGACTAGCTCCAGTTGGAATGTACATTCAAGGTAGAGGATCGATGATTGCATACCACACAAGCAGGGGCAAGCGGTACAAAGTGTAGAGTCTTGTGCACTTCGTGTGAATGACTGTTCAGAGTCTGAAGTAGACACAAGGATATATTAGGAGATGAGAGCACACTTAAGCAAACCCAACACACTAGATTTCCTTACAAGCTCAACCTAAATAGACGACCGACGAGAACATCAAACAAGAGTAAAAAACCACATCCCACATATAGCCTGTTCTGTGCACCTGTTCCAGGAAAAGACCAAGCCATGCCTAGTTACCTGCTTACAAAGAGCTTGGAGAAATTCTGAATATGCACTGGGCTTTATTTCGTTGAACTTGGCCAAGAATGAGTGTTTGATCACATCAACGAGTACTTCACACAGAACTACCATCCCTGCATTCTGCAGTGTTCTGCTTTGATGAGTTTATAAATGAGGGAAAACAAGGAAGATAAGATTGATTCCAGTTGGAACAAACATTAGATTCCATTCCATTGAATTCTAGAATGAAGGTTACAGCCGAGACTTTATTGAACAATGCTGAAATATAGTTACTGCAATTAAAACTCCTGAAAAGTGTAGCACCCACATAAGCAAAATTCCAGAGCCAGGTGTCCTCGCTATTCTGAATATTCTGTGCCAAAACGAATAAAAGATGTGCCATGATGTGGAATCGCTCCACTGTGTCTGCACAAAAAATTATCACAATTTTCAGTCAGACGCATCCACTTGTACAACAAACGCAGTTTTTACTAGCTAGACCGAGGAGAAAACTCTAGCCATATACAAAAAAAAATATGACCTCAATACAGAAAATTCAAATTTCCTTCCTGATACGGTAAATCTCATCACGTAGTGTAGTAATCGGATGATACCGTGATAGGCCATCTTGTGGAGATTCTCTTTGGCGACCCGTTTAAAAACATTACTCTTGATTTCGGCAAAATTGTTCGAAATGAGGAGTGTGAGCAGCGCATTATTCTGAGAGTTGATGGCCGCTGATACTGTGATAGCTTGAGACATGATCACAAGAGAGTGCACCAGGAATGACACAATGGCGATACTCTGGTCCAAAATGAATTGAGCCCACTGCTTGATCAGCCTCTCAGGCGGAGAGTCTCCAATAGCTACAGCAGAATTGAGAAGAATCTGGAGCACATCGCCTCCAAAAGATTGACAAAGCTTGTCAAAGATCTGCAACACATCCACAAAATAGTGTTTATGCCGTGGAAAGAGCACACAGAAATCCATAAATCTCAATGTATTAGTTCATAAATTTACTATATTTGGATTAGGGAACTTTGTGTTTATAAATCCACCTTGGTTCACCAAAACCATTTAGTAAACACAATTATACCTTAGTTCAGATCACTAAAGTGATCTGACAATTATAATCAGTTTACTACCTTAGTTCAGTACACTAATAGTTTAATATCTTAGTTCAGAGCAAACAATTATAATAGTTTACTACCTTAATCTTCTTGTCACTTAAATATATAATTAAGCATGTCAAACTAGACTTTCACTGTTGAATGATTATTACGCCAAATCGTACACCATGGTCTCCCAAGGGGTCAAGGCAGTCAAAAGCATACAACAAAGGTAAGATACGAACCTCAAGGACATTGAAAACAACATATAGCTTAATTGTGGCTTGGCCTCGAATGTAATGATAAATGAAACTGATATCTGCAATTACCAGTTAGTAGTGAGATAGCATACACTGTTCTAATTAATGTTAAGATCCGACTACAGTAGTGCAAACTTAATCGACCTCCTTAATCCTTTCGTATTCAAAGTGAAAAATTGGATTGAAAATTAGTTACTGTCACTCTAGGTCACGTGTCTCTCAAATCCTGCTATCCATGGCACCAGTAAACAAATGAAGTTGAGACATACCAGCCTGCTGAAGAACCGCCACGCCCAGGACAAGGATAATCAATGAAGCGAAGTCAGACAATTCAGCAGCATATGGTCTTTGAAATTGCCTGTCCCAAAACAGAATGGGCATATTCTAGAATAAACCTAACAGTCACAACTCTCAAGTTTTTCCTAGTGGCCAAACAGTACTGCAAGTGCCGATTAAAATATCAACCTTCCTTGGGTGAAATAAATAACTAATTTCGCATGCAAGCCCTTATGATTGGTTTAAATTTCAGAGCACATATCTAACATTCATAATACCTGAACTTCGCGAGAACAATCCATTTCATAAATTTATTATTTTCTACCTATTAATAGGGCTACCATCGGGCCGTGTGCATTGCCCCCTCAGTTATGGCCTTTGATATGCAGCCTCAAGGGTGCCCAATTCATTTCATAGACTTCTGCTAAATAACCATTTGAAATTCATCAAATCTCCAATAAGAAAAATACCTGTAATGGACATTAACCTCTCAAAAAAGCTTACCTCCAATGCAAGATCCGCTGCCAGAGAAACATAATGATCCTAGCTGGCATAACTGTGAACAGCGAAAGGAAGGAGTCCAAACACACGAAGAATCCAACATCGATAAGCTGCAACCATTCCCAGTCACGCAACGAAAACATCATTATGAACCGTAAATGATTATCTACTTACCCAACTTGCAGAGAAAACAAAGAAATTTCCTTTCAACACATTCATTCACAGATCTTAATATTCATCTCGAAAATTCGGTAAACATAAACTCCCATGCAAATAGCAATTAAGCTTCAAGTCGGTGAATTCTCACCAACTCACATCTCCACGGTACATGAAACATTGTGTTGTATATACGCTCCCGTCTCTGTTGTATGCCATGTGATGGATGGCGCTCGGACAAGCTCCCCCTCTGGAATTCCTCCCGCAAATAATTTATTGGTGATAGGCCAACCACCGCTGGATCTGTTCCAATTATTTGTCATTGAACAGTATCGACACAAAGAACCTCAAGTAGAAACAAGCCAACAGAATGCAGACTACATTTAAAGAAACTAGGAAGCAGTTTTAAGTGTTAGCTCAGTGAACGTTTTTCTTTGCTCCGAAATAAGCAATGCAACTGAAAACTCAAATTTTAATTGCGACCTCCCGCGAAGGCGTCAATAAGTATACAGCAGTCTCATTAGCAAGACTACATCAGGATCTTGAACGAGATACAGAAACAAAAGTACTTGCCACTCTTGACCAACAGAAACAAAGCTCAGGAATATTTCACTGTCAGACTTCAACCTAAAAGCTTTTACTCATTTTAACTCAAGAATGTGCTGCTAGATTTGCTGCCTTCGAATCGCAAATGCTGCATTTAATCCAATGATCTCCCAACCACAACCACCACAATTGAGGAAAAGATAAATAAGTTCAAGAAAGGATTGAGTTTACAGGAAACATAACAAGTAGAATGAAATACTTACATTCTGAATTCGCAGCCATCAACCTTTCCCACTCCGTCAAATGCGGAGTTTCGTAGCTTGATAGTAGAGGCCGGGGCAATGGGGGAACTCTGGACCCCAATGACTGCTCAACCACATCCACATGCCCAGGGTAGCTTGGATCTGCGTCTGGCTTCTGCATTTTCAAAGAAACTAACCTTGGAATTGGGTGTTTTTCAACTCCATTCCCTTGAACGGGTGAGCTGGGCAATTTCTCAACGGCTCGCTGCCTGAGCTCCGTGGAGATTTGTCCAGGAGCAAACATAGGTTCTCTTTGACCACCTCGAGGACTGTATCCTGATACGATGTTGAAATCAGGTGCAACAAGAGATGTTTGTCCCGCTGATTGATCTATTGGCAACGATAAACGAAGGTCCGGGGCACAACCATCATTTAATGCATTGTCGGAATAAATTTTATCGTAAGACGAAACAAATTCAGGCCGAATTTCACTTCCAAAATCTAGAATTTTGTCTTCTAAGCCATGGCTAATCAGCGTTTCCACAGACCTACTTTTCAAAGAGAGCTCTCTGTGAAGCACACCAGGGCCAGGCACACCAGAAGCCAAATTTCTCAAATTCTCTGTAATAAGAAGAGAGTTCTGACCGAGCTGCTGAAGATCAGCAGCCGGAGTGGTATTAGTAGCTGTAAGATTTTGGATTCGAAATTTCTGCTCAGCATCTTTGGACTTGAGAGCTTCTTTTGTGACATCATCAAAATCCATAACACTAACTCCCCTAAGATCAACCACAGGTTCCAAACGCAAGTCCGCAAGAATGTCACCTGCACGCATCTGAATCATTTCCTTCAAAGCACCAACATCACTCACTGGAAGAATCCCCAAGTCGATGTTCCGCTGCGGACTCACACTAATCAGACCTAGAGTAGAACTAACCTCATTTTCTTCCGCAACGTCGCCTAAATCCTTCTCCCCAAGGACCATTTCAAACCCAATGTTCTGCCCCATCTTCCTATGCTTGTGCTTGCGTCGCTTCCCCTTGATCTTCGCCGTGGGGGGCAAGGACTGTTCTTCTTGCCTCCCAACCTCCTCATCGTCGCCAGAAGTGTCAACAGTCAGAAGCTCATACACGCCTGTCCTCCGCCTCCGCCCATAATTGTCCATCGCAATCGCTCCCTGCTACTGCTGTTGCACCTTCATCATATCAATTTGGGCGTCGAAGGACAAACCCACTATATACCTAGATGCGATGGCAATTCAAGCTCAATTCAGAGATCGAGCAATCTCACCAAGTCGTGTAGGGTTTAAGCTCCGAAACATGGCCACGACGCCAGGAACGTGGAAATCGAAATCGAAGTCGAAATAGGCGACCTCGTGCCAAACCTACAGAGGCCTGAGTTTGGAAATGTGGCAAGGAGGAATTAAGAACCTTCTGCAGCCCTCCCTAACACCCCAAATGTAATGATCCACCCGGCTTCTCTGATGCGTTTCTGTTCTGCTCCCTCCCTTACACTCCTCCACATTATACAGCTTTTCATTCACCGAAGTTGCATGCTGCTAAAAAACTCGAAACTACCAGGTTACACAAACATCTATTCCTTCTTTTCTCTTTTTTCCATACAACATAAGTTCTTCTAAAATATAGAAATGTGAAACGTTATTATACCCCCCCCCCCCAAATAAATAAGTAAAAAAATAAATTCATAGGTATGAATAGGGTACCCATGTGCCCCAATAGACAATAAAAAGCAACCGATTATTGTTGAATTTTGGATTTAAGTCTACACATTACATGATTTTGGAAAAAATATGAATATACATATATATAATTATAAATATCGTTATACGTATATTATAGAGTGACATTTTGATCTCCAAAACAACAATGACAAATGCAACATTGAAATTTTATATTAAAAATTATTTAATAACTCTTAAAAAGAGAGTGTATATATATATATATATATATATATATGAATCTACTGACAATAAAAACTCTTAAAAAGAGAGTATATATATGTAAATATTTATATATATAAATGTATAATAAATACATAGAGGCACCTAGATATAATGCTAATATATTAAATAGCATATGTACGTATATGTCCTTTTTTTGTTTCAAAATATTATATGCATACTATTTTTTATATATATATATATATGTGAATCTACTGACAATAAAAAAAAAAAAAAAAAAAAAAAAAAAAAAAAGTTAAGTAAATGCATTGCATAATTATATTTAAAGAATCAAATTTGAAAATAAATTTCATATTTATAAATTTTTAGACTCATTAAAGAAGTCTATGGACAATATAATCTCTGTGTCAAAAACACTGAAACACAGTTTTATTTAAAACCCTTGACAAGTTTTCAAAACATTGATAAATTTGTTGATAACAATTAAAAAAGATATAATAAAAAGTTCAATAACAAATCTCTACAAAACATGTTTTTGAAATTACTTGAAAGAACAATTATCGGAATATAAATTGTGATACTTATGTTTTATAAGTAAAAATATACATAAAATAAGATTAAAATCATTATTAGTATTCATAAGTCAAATTTTAAATACTTTTTATTGAATAATAAATTTTATTTATTCTAATTATAATTGATGTTAATGTGTTTTATCTTATTTCAGATGAATTAATATTTAAATTTAGATTTTTAATCTTAACATATGGTAGTTTTAATTATAAATAGAAATTATTCAATTTATGATTAAAATAGATAGTGAAATAATATAAAAAATATTTTTAAACTACATAAGTATAATATAAATTTGCATTTGAATCTTTGTAAAACTTTTAAATAATAACATTAATAGTAATTTGGATGCATAAAAAAAATATTATCTAATTTTATATAAAAATATTTTTAGTATTTTATAAAATATTTTTTATGGGTTTCTTTTTTGTAAATTTTAAATTTTTTTAAAAATGGAAATATATTTAAATACTTGTAATATCTTAATTTTTATTTAAAATATTATTTAAAATTTAATTGAATTAAAAAAATGATTAAAATTGTAAACAAAAATAATATATAAAGGTTAAGATCCACAAAAGAATAATTGTTAGAAGATTTTTTATATTCTCTCTCTCTTTCTCTCTCTCTCTCTCTCTCTCTCTCTCTCTCTCTATATATATATATATATATATATATATATATATATATAATTATTTTTTAATAATTTAAAGTCTATAAAATATAGTAAAATTTAATAATTCAAAAAGTTTTGATTTTTTGATTTTTTGATTTTAAAAAAAATATATTATACAAAAATATAAATAAATCATTGTAGTAAAATTTGAGGTATTTAAAAGGCACTTTGAGCTTCAAATTGTATCTTAAAGGTGATAATATTGTATTTCATGATTACTATCATGTGGATTAGGTTTGACATACAAATGTTAAAATGTGAACAATGGACAATGTCTTCTTTACTGAAGTAGGAGCAATCTAATGGAATTGCACAAGATAACTAAAAATTGCACAGTCCATAATGAAGGCAAAGTATGTGACAACATGCCACAATGCACTAGAGGCAATTTGGCTAAGATAAAATTTTGAAGAAATTAGATTAGGGCAATTAGAGGCAACTCCAATAAATTGTCACAATTAAAAATGCCTTGCTTTTGCAAATAATCCAAAACATCATATAAGAATAAAATACATTGACAACCAATATGACTTTAAAGAGAAGAAGATTAAAAAAATAAAAAAATAAAAAAACAAATAATTTTCTTTTGACATAAAACAAAATCATTGATATCTATGACAACAATATTTTATAAGGCAATGCATTCTTGTAACACTATCAAAGACATGAGTCATAAAGAACTAAAAAGATAATAAATTCTTATGTCATTCAAAAAGAATAGATATTCCTTCAAAAGTAATATAGTATTTAAACTTAAATGACTATTACCAAAGACTAGAAGACTAGAGATTCTCCAAACTAGACTAAGAACAAGAAAGGAATTGATAAGAGTAAAAACAACTTTACTATCAAATCTACTTGGAATTATCTTCTATTTAATACTTCTTACTAAAACAATATAATACATCTATGATAATATTTTCCCCTCTTTTCTTCCTCTTTTTAGGAACAAATTCCATAAGTATCAATAATCGTATGTTAAAAAGTATAAAATAAAATAAATTATATTTCTTACATACTCTAATATTTGTTCCCTTCAAAGATAGTTGATAGGTCCTTTGAACCATTGATAGTATCTCATATCAATATGAAAAGACCAAATTAATATTTAATCATTGTTAAGGCCTTCATAACTACTTTTAGGTAAAACAATTGGAGCACTATCAAGAATGGTTGCTACTTCCAATAATATTACTAAATATCAAGAATCTCTTCTAAAGTTGTAATACCAAATATGTTGTATCTCACACTGTATTTGAAGAAGAACATGTTATTCTTAAGAAACTTTATATCTATTACATCATCTTAAAGTTTGTCACAAAAACAAGACTGAATTCTTTCTAAGATTTAAAATCCCTCCAATTTATAACAACAGAAATTCTATCTCAAAATGAGACAAAACTAACTAAAACAAAACTAAAGAAAACTAAACAAAATAAAACACAAAAGGCAAAACAAAGTAAATGAGAATAGAACAAAAAAAAAATAGAAAATTCAAACTAAACTTTATTAAAAGAAATTGATACAAACTATACTTAATCAAATATCCAAATGGCCTTAATCAGTCATATTTATACTTTCCTCAACCATCTTGAAACTTTCTAGAATGTCTTAAATAGTGGACCTCATATTGATAATCATCTTCCTGGAAGATTTTAGAGATGGGCCCTATTTAGATAACTACCTTAAATTTTTTTAGAGTGTTCTATTGTAGGTCCTATATAGACCACCAACCTAGCTCCAATTCTAAAAACTTCTTAAAAACTGCTACAATTACCTATCTCTATGCATCCACAATACAAATATCTTATCCATACCCCGTTACAATTAATTCTCCTTTACTAATGCAGAATGTCTTTGATTTGCTTTTGATAGTATCTTCAAATTGTTTATTGACAATGAATGAGGTTTTCTATAAGTTTTCACATTGCATCATAGATGAAATAATCTTTTTAGAAGACTTTATATTGAAGTTGTAAACATCTATTGCTATGACAAAAATAACAATGTTTTAGATAATTAGAGGTATAGTTGCATGTTGAAGAACCATTGGCATACATCTTCTTGCCTTGGAGTCTCTAAATATGTATTGAATTGCTCAATTTCACCCTAGCAAAGGTAAATTAACTTATCCTAGAGGTTTCCATTTGTCCTTGTAGAATAGTTATTTGGACTAAAAAGTATTATATTTGAGCCTTCATCTAAGATGGCTCTGCCATATCTCCCATGTTGTAATATCTTTGTTGTAATCTGCTACTGTAACACCTTCTCTACTTCTAATTGACTTCTTAAAGATAGCTCATAGTAGCTCCAAAATAGTACCCAATATAACCACAACAACTGACCTCCAACTAGACAATTGCTATCAATACACTAATAAAGAAGAAACTAACACTCGCTTTGATACCAAAGAAATAGGATTGAATTCTTTCTAAGGTTTAAAACTCCTTCAATCTATAGCAACAAAAATTCCATCACAAAATAGGACAAAATTGATTAAAACAAAATTGAACAAAATTAAAGAGCATAGAACATAAAAGGCATAACAAAACAAAAGAAAATAGAAACAAAATAGAACAAAAAATGCAAATCAAACTTTATTGAGAAAAATGAACAAAAGCCATACTTAATCAAATATCCAAATGGCTTTAGTCAGTCCTATTTATACTTTGTCTAACCATCTTAGAACTTTTTAGAATGTCCCAAATCATAGGCTCTACATTGATAATTGCCCTTTTAGAAGATTCTAGAGATGGATTTCATCTAAATAACTGCCTTAAATCTTTTAAGAGTGTTCTATGGTCGATCCCACATGAACCACCAACCAAGCTTTAATTCTAGAAACTTCTCAAAAACAACTTCAATTATCTATTTCTATGCATCCACAATACAAATATCTTATTTATGCTTTCTTATATTTCAACTATAGAAGATAAATAGATATGCAATAACAATCTTATCAAGTCTAATAGAATCTTAAAAAAACTTTAAATAATCTTTAATACTCCTAATCAATTTTAACCAATCCAAAGTAAATTAAAAATAATTTACAAAAGAAACACAAAGAAGTCATAAATTAATTTCAAAGAAGAATAAAAAATAAATCCTAAAGAAATATAAAAATAAATCTTAAAAAATAAAAATAATCTTAAAGAAATATAAAAATTAAAAATCCTAATTAAATTCTAAATAAATTCTAATTCAATCCTAATTTAATCCTAATTTAATCTTAATTAAAATCTAAATAAATCTTAATCAAATTTTAGATCAAATCTTAATTAAATCCTAATGAAAATCCTAAATAATATCCTAATAAA